TTAATCTGATGCCCAAAATTATCTAAATTAAGCCCTAATATCTTTTTACCAAAAAAACAATATCTTTCCACCCCCCAACACCGCACGCCAATGGTAAACAAAAATGTTTACTATGTCAAATAGTTCATTTTTCTAACATACAATCACCTCCAAAATTCGAATAAAATCGCATTATTAATAACTGAGATATCGGAGTGTATTCATGAAAAGTGGGACACACTGTATATTATCACAAGAGAAAAAATTGCCGAAAAGCAACAAACTTGAATAAAACCTTGAGAATAATTTTGCCTACACAAATTTTTCTCGAGTGGTATTCGTCATGATTATTTCACGTAAAGCGGCGTTTCCACATGCATAGTTTATTGGCGCCAGTCGACTGGCGTAACTTTTCTGGCACGTGGAAACGCGGAAAATTAACTGGCGCCACTGATTCATGCGCCAGTAAAGTAGAATGTAGGTCTACTTTTTGGCGCCAGTTTGCCATGTGTGACAGTTTGTCAAAAAAAATAGGAACGTTTTCACTAGTCGTTTTCAGAAAAATAATGAAAATGTCAAGTAAATCTTAAAAATTGAACATATAAAGTTTATGGAAGAGCATCCCTGTTTGTGGAATGTGTGTTACAAAGACAGGAATAAACGGGATGATGCTATAAGGATAAGTGTTGACGTATTGTGCGAGTTCTCATGTTCTTAAGTCGTTTTGATATCACTGGTGCTAAAAGCAAAATCGAAAGCTTTGGAAATGCTTCATGGTCTTCATCCGCTAACTCAGACAGTAAATTATTTGATGCTCCTAGAAGAGCTTTTCTGCGTGAAATTTATTTTCGTACCCAGATCTTGTGTTTATGTCTCTTCTTCTTGTTTTTTCGGGTCTTCTGCAATAATTCTGGAAACAAAATATCCACAGCAACATTTAAATACCTGCTTGAATCATTAAAGTTCACGCCCTTTTTCATTTTTCTACTGCGCCAGTTGAAAGTTTTTGATATCAAATGGAAACCGATACTGGCGCCACTATTATTACGCCAGCAAACTGGCACGTGCACTGGCGCCAATAAACTATGCTTGTGGAAACGCCGCTTAAGATTTTGAAAATAAATAAAATGCAAAAATATGAATAAAAACTTCAAATTAAAAATATCAGTTTGACAATGTCAAAAAATAGTCGCTGAAATACCATGTTGTTGGTATTGTCCAGGTAGCAATATTGTCAGCTGAATACCGAATTTATTGCCGGTATAATACACTCTAGTGAAATAGTCATCTTTATTCGTCTCTGAGCTACAACCATAATATGTTTTCAGGCATTGGGGGAAAAGAGGGGAGTGGGGGTCGGACGACGCATATTTCAGAGTGGTAAGAAATGTTTTTACATTCAGTGTGATGTAATTAAATAAAAAAAATAGGTTGTCAACTTTGATCATTTATTTCCCACGAACCCCCAATTTTTGGCCCTATGCGCTTCCACTATACCGGGTGTTTTTCAAAACCCGCTCACCTCTATAACCTTTTTTATTTTTACCAATAAACAAATGAAATTTGGTGTGTATTTTTTACCCGGATATGGATTATTTGACGTATTCAATTATTTATCATCACTTCCGGTTTGACATTATTTTAAATGAGATGCCAGGTATATTTTCCCTTATTCCAATTGAAAACTACATTACGAGTACAATGATATCTCATTTGTCACTTTTTGACATTTCAACTCCAAATTGTTTAATTTTTTACTTAACAATCTAGAGCGCCATGAATTAGTTAAAATGCTTATTTTTGCTCCAAGAAACCTGGGAAAATTTGTTTTGATCCTATTGTATATTTGACGAAGCGCATTTTTGGAATTATATCAATTTTTTCAAATGGAAAGGGTGTGGCTCATAAGCATCTTCCGAAAGAGCATTTTCTAACGAACAATCTCTAGTTTATTCAAATATTGCACTAAAATTTTTCAAAAATATTTAGAATCCTAGAAAATTCCTTAACTTGAGTAATGGACTAGCGATTGTGTGGAACGAAATTACTCGTTAGAAAATGCTCTTTCGGAATATGCTAATGAGCCCTACCCTTTTCATTTGAAAAAATTGAATTAATTCCAAAAATGCGCTTCTACTATTTTTGAATGAGCCTGTAGAGGATATAAAATTCAAAATAATACCAAAACAAATTTTCCCAAGTTCCTTTGAGCAACATTAAGAATTTTAAATAATTCATGGCACTCTAGATCAAAAAGTAAAAATTTAAATGATTTGGAGATAAAATGTCAAAAAGTGGCAAATGAGGTGTCATTGTAATTGTAATGTAGTTTTCTATTGAAATAATGGAAAATATACCTACCTGCTGTCTCATTTAAAATAGGAAAGTTAGGGTAATTTCCGGTCCAACCGGAAGTGATATTTAATATTTGAATAATGCACATCCGGGTCATAAATATACACACCAAATTTAATTTGTTTATTTGTAAAAATAAAAAAGTTATAGGGGTGAGCGGGTTTTGAAAAACACCCGGTATAGCTTAGCTAAAAAACTAACTTATGTAAGAAAAGTGCTTGTTCGTAAGCAGGTAACGTGGAGAGTTTTTTTGCTGAAAAGAAACAGCTTTTTCCTGCCAAAATTTGGAAATGGATATCAGTAAAAAAAGTAAAAACAGGGACCAGAAAAGGTTCTGATTTTTCACATGTTACAGATAATTTATTGTTTGAACTTGTTGATGGCCAAAAGTTTATTGTCCCTAAGATGTCGACGGAAAAGAGTACCGAGTCCTGTTGAACATCTTGGTGGAAACAGTAATTAGAAAAAAGTATTCTTCATAAAGAAATCGCTATATTTTTCGAACCGTTACAGATTTTTGAAAACTCTCGAAATAGTCTAGGAGGCAGGACGATTGTCGGTACTTATTTTCCCAGTCAGAAAACATGGATAGAATTGTAGGGTTAGTAATTCTAAGCAAAATTCATATATTTTTAGGGGAGGTTTCCCGATGGGTTGAGGCGCAAAATACGTCAGAGCTTACGAATGCACGCGGTCCCTTTTTTTCCAGGAATAAAAATAGCTCCACTAATTAGGGGTATACTGAAGTTACGTAAAAAAAATAGTCCGGCTAATTTGTGAGCATGGATGATACGTCTGGCAAGTGAAAAATTAAAGATCCGAAAATTTTCAGCCAGACTCACTTTCCACTATCTGAGATAAGCGAAATTGATATTTTCATATACTTTTTGTTCTATTGTAGTAAATGTGAAATATTTATGACTGGGAAAATAAGTGTACTTGCATTTCTCATTGATCTTGTGAACGCATCCGAAAAATTCAGCCAGACTCGAAAATGCTTGTTTTGTATCATTTCACTGCCTCCTGGACTAAAATTATTCTTTGAAACTGCACACCACAATAAAATGTCTTCATTCCTATCCCAAAACGTTTTTAAAAATGTTCGCGAAATCAATGAAAATTTTAACTTTGTTAATTGTTGTGTACTAATTGTTTGACCGAGACCATTATGTATATGTAAATTTATGCAAAACTGGGACCAAGTGTTTACCTGGGGGACAAGCTAGATTTCTCATTTTTCGTAAGAATATATTAAGGTTTTAGCAAAGCTAAGATTAAACTTGGCCCACCCGTATTAGGGTACAAAAAGGGTCTAAGGCTCATTTGCATATTTGTGATTCTATTCAAGATGAATGGATCTCGGTATATTAGATTAAATGCGCTCCACTATGAAATGATCTGTTCTTCAGAGGGTTGCGGGATAATTTGTGGGCGTCGGTTAGCAGGTAATCGTTTTACAACTATATTTCTTCGGTGGCCCGACTATAGATACCACCATTGGTGTCGTATAGCAGAGGACTAGAGGGTATTTTATAAAAAAAAATATGTATAGACTTTTCAAACATTTATTTTAATAGATTGATCGAGATATTAATAAACAAAACCAACATTTTTGTATTATATTTTTATTTTTATGTAAAAAGGTAAAATTGACAATAAAAATAATACCAGTTATTAATCAACTTTCGTCATCTGAATAATCAGTAGAACTATCTTTTACCCCAACTGATATAATAATGAGCTGTATTTCTTCTTCCAACATGTGGTCTAGCTGCCACATCTTTTTTTCTTCTTCTTTCAAGTGCTCTACACATTTATGCCATTTTTCGGAATCTACATGTTGAATTGCTTTTTGAAAAATCTTCTCAACATTATTTATTTTATATGTGGTATTTTGAGTGGCTACTAAATATTTAATCTGAGCCCACACTAACTCAATCGGATTCAATGCGCAGTGATTATGGAGGAGTCCGAAGTACAATAATCTGTCGCTTTTCCGCCATATCATCAATCTTACATTTACTATATTCCTGTTTTTTCGTATTCACTAGGGCCAAGAGTTCTTTTTCAACCATATCATTTAGAAGTGATATTCGTCTTTCAGAAAGCCACTTTTTAATGTCTTCTTTTCGCCATGCAGTCGTTGGTACTTGAACAGCTTTTCGTGAATGATAAGGAGCATTATCAAGCACTATAGAGGATTCTGACGGAATCAAATCTAACATCTGCTCGAAATATTCCTCAAACACATCGCCGTTCATGTCTTCGTGGTAGTTTCCATTGTGCTTAGATTGAAACATCAACAAGCCGCCTTTGACAAATCCTTGTTCATTGCCAATATGGGTAATAAACAATCTACTTTCCTACCAGATGATTAAAATTATTACCTAAAACATTGCATAGAAACGAACTTTCAATGCCTAGGCAGTAAAAGTCCACTTTTACCGCCTAGGCCGTAAAAATACACCTTTTGAGCTTGTCAAGTATCATTAAAAAGTCGCTTGTACGGTCATTCGGAGAAAAATAACTATTATACCCCAGTCAATACCTGACTAATCACAATAATAGATGTAATATTGTCATGTTTGAGTTGAGACATGGCAGAACATACCTCTCATTCTAATCATAGACGCATTTTTTATGCATATACGATTGTCCCTATACATTTTAAAATTTAATATTAACTTATTCGAATAATATATGGGATGCCTATAGCAAGGCGATTATGACATTGATTTGCGATGGTCTCGCATTTCCAAATAGACTTTGCATTTTGAATTTCCACCCTGTATACCACATTTGTTGACATTGCTTATTTTTATTGATAAATCCTTTAATTCTCAATAAAATTTGCCATCAGTCTTCGAAAATCGTAAATCGATACGATACGATTCTTCATTATCGTCAAGATAAGATGGGATACAAATTAAACGAATTATCGGTTAGTCGATTAACTGGCTATCCGATTATTCGGTTTTCATAGTTGTACTATTTTGAATTGAGAAAAATACTACCTACTATATAACTATATGTACTATGCTTGTTGAAGAACAATAATCCATAATCCATAAATTCACTGACCCTCCGCCTATGGTTCCTCGCTAACAGATATCTATCTGCCACTGATGGCGATAAGCAATTAATACAATATACCTAAACCGGCTTTCGGAGTCTCCATTTGACATCAGTTCAAATTGCATATTTACCAAACGGTCCCATTCAATCCGTTCCTGGTATCTGGTACCCTCTCTCTGTCTCTATTTCTCTCTCTCTCTCACTCACTGGGTCTTGGTTGTAGTGTAGTATATACTCGGCACAGGCCTTGGCTAATTTTAAACCCTGCCTGCCTCGATCGAGGCGAGGCGAGGAGAAGTCAACAGGCCGCATGCCTCCCGTTTTGCCGTGTCTGTGGTTAGTGGTTAGTTTCGAATACAAAGCCGGCGCGTACACTTAACCTTACTTCATGTCGTCTCTCTGATGGGTTAGTTTACGTTGAAATAATGTCGAGTGCAGGCCAAAATATACCCTCCTCGGCGGACGCCTGCCAAAATATCGTTCACACATTGATGTGTCATCGTCAGGGTGGTGAAAGTGAAGGATTTTCGCGAAGAGCAATCGAATCGCTGGTGAAAAAGTTAAAGGAAAAACGGGACGAACTCGATTCGCTTATTGTTGCCATAACGACGGGCGGAGCTCAACCGAGCAAGTGCGTCACTATTCAGCGAACTTTGGACGGTCGTCTACAGGTGGCGGCGCGCAAGGGATTTCCCCATGTGATTTATGCGCGCATTTGGCGTTGGCCTGACCTGCACAAAAACGAATTAAAACATTTGAAATTGTGCACGTACGCGTTCGATTTAAAATGCGATTTGGTTTGCGTCAACCCGTATCACTACGAGAGGGTGGTGTCGCCAGGATTAGATTTGTCCTCGCTGACTTTGCATTCGGTACCGGCTAGGAATAATGGCATCAATATGGACGTTGAAAATGATATGGGTAAGGTCATGGTTGCAACACAGCTTGTTGTCGTCGACTTGAGGCATCCTGGATAGTCAATTTTTTCGTATATACCTACCTACAATGGATAGATATGCCTATTTTGAACCATTTTAAGAAAAAAAATCGCGGGATGATTCACTTGTTTCTTTTTCTATTTTTCTTACATTTCTGTATCACGGATTTGACGTTTTTTTGTTAGGAAAAATTGGGTAGACAAAAATTTGCGAGCCTTATTTGCGAGGACTAATAAAAAAAAATCGCTGAAAGAAGCACGCTTGTTTCAAATAGAAGAATGGGATCCAAAACCAGTGGCGGTCCATACGCTAATAACACAAAGACATCCCAGGAATGTTCAAAGAATATTTAGTTGGGACAATCAGAATATTCCTGGAAGATTCTGTTTAGATCCTGAAACATTCCTGGAACATTCCAGGAGACGCTTTTGTCATCAAAATGGATGTTCTAGGAACGTTCTATTGAATCATTCCTGGAATATCTTCAATCATCCCACATAGTATATTCGGGATTTTTGTGGGATATAGGAGGAACATGCACAGAACATCCCACAAATAAACTAGTGGGACACACTTTTGTTTAGGTTTATTAATTATAGATATTATTCAAATTATAAATTGTAAATTGACATCCAACACTTGCATCAACAGTTTCCTAGAAAGTTCCATTTTCTGAAGAGTAATAATGCGTGCTGATACTTTGTTCAGGTAGAACGGTAGAAGGTTGATTAAAATCTTCATAGAATCTTAAGTAGCCAAGTAAAATGTCCTCTCAGTCATAGAAACGAGCGTAGAACTAGAGAAAGGATGCTGCCTCGGGTTCTGATGCTCATCTTGTAGATCAGGTTCTGAATGACTTGATTGTTTGTTCCTTTGACAATAATTAGTTGCTCAACAATACTTTTTTCCTGTAGGATCCATCTTCAGCACTGTAAGCACTCTAAAAACCTCTTAAATAAATTACTGAACAGGCTACATGTAGTACTTACCTAACACAAAAATGCAAAAGGTAACGAAACCTCGAAAATTGGAAGAGCCAGTGAAAAATTATGTGGGAAATTCGTGGAAAAATCTACGAAAAACCATATAAAAACACGAGCAAACCAAGCACCGAACGTTTTATTGTTCAAAACCGACCACCGATAAAACGATTATTTTGTAATTAAAACAAAACTTAATTAATAACAAACAATAAAATTTGCTGACTTGTTTTTTCGGAGTGAGGTTAGGTTGTCTGTGATGAATATGAAGTGAGGTGCCGTGGCTTGTGACGTGCGGCTTTTGTTCGACGTTGCCAGTTGTCACGTATATTATTTTTGTGTAACGAGTAAAATATCGCCAATATAAAAAAATATACAACCTATTAATTGTATTTTTATATACAAACATTACATATAAAATTCGAAAACTTATGAAACTACTAGGTATATTTCATCATATTTATATGGAATAAAATCATCCAAAGAAATCTGACAACGTCGAAAATGGGTATCGTCATGATCACTACTGGTTGATAGACGAACTGACGAAGCGCAGTTGGGTCGTTGGTCTTGTTGGTCTGAATCTGGCAATGGGATTTTTTTAAAAGTTTTTTCTCTTTATATGCTGCTAAGCTGAGAATTATAAATAAGAAATCACAAAACAAAGAAACAGGAATATTTGAGGGATGTTCCTTGAATATTACATCTAAATATTCCAGTTATATTCTATCTGAAACATTCTGGGAATGTATTATCAAGGTACGGGACATTCATACTTTCATAGTACATTGGCAGGATATCCCAGGAAAATCCTGTGTTATCAGGGTACATGATTTTCTTGTGGGAGGGGGGGGGGGGGGGGTAATGGATGACGGGAAAATTATGAAATGTCGCAACGTACTTCGAAAATCATTTAAATTACAAAGTTGTTTGATTCTCTAAGGTATATTAGTTAAAAATATTTTTAAATATACAGGTTGCTCCAAGGGATGCTCCGTAAATGGAATATGCGAAAGAACTTTCCCACATAACAGTGAAAGAACATTCATATTCTCAGAATATTCCCTCAAAGTACTTTTTGGAATGTTCTTTTAGGAATGTTCAATGAATATTCTAAGATTGTTTCGATTGAAATATTCATTTTTGAACGTCCTATTTATGTACTAGGAATGTTGCTTCTATGCACCTACCTGAAAGATTGTGCTAAGAACCTACTTTATATAACATTATTTGAATATTCTCATACGAACATTATTATAATGTACCCTTACGAATGTTCTTTAAGCTAATATCCCTATCAAGTATTAAGAATATACCTACCAAGTTGTGCTGAGAAGTTTATGTAGGTAGGTAACCATGATAAGAATATTTTCATATTGTTCACCTAATTATCTAAAGTACCTACTCAAAAATCTTAATTGTACAATTAAACAATAATGCTCTATTTAGAACCTACTAAGAATATTATAGGTATATTCTTTTTCTTTTGCTTTGTATGACTTCCAAGAGAGGGAGCGACGCGCTATTAAAGATCTACATCTTGCCTCGAATTTGAATCACCTTGGAACCTGTTTCTCTCAGTTGGCGTGCTTCGACGAGAGCATAACAAGCTCGAAACCGGAGCTTTGGTTAAATACTCGTGTTTTATAGAGAAGTTTTCCAACAACTCTTTCACTGCCTTTAATATAAAAGGGCTGAAACGAGCATTATTTGGAAGCGAAAATAAACATTCCAAGTATATCCTTAGAATCAAACAAGAATGTTATGTCTAATATGCATATTGAGAATGATATATGTAGATATATTCTAAGAATATTTCAAGCATATTGGTATAATATTCTTTTGAGAACATAACTATAATGTCATAGAAACATTCTTTGAATGTGAGAATATAGGTACGTTTCTAGCATATTTTTAGAATCAAACAGGAATATTCTTTTAAGAACGTACTGAGAATCTCATAGGTATATTCTAGGAATATCCTAATGGATTTCCCAGGAAGTTCTTGGGTATTGCAAACAGTATTTCTACAATCTTTTCTCAGAACATTCTCAGGACATTCGCAATGGTTTTGGCGAACATTCTAGGCACATTCCTCCTGAAAAAAGAACATTCTTAATACATTCTAAGGATGCAATTTTGTTATGTGGGTTGTTATTTTTAAATGACACACCCTATATTTTAGTACATTTACATTAATGGATTGTTCTAAAAATCCTACATAATTTTTGCTAGGAATCACCTATATCAAAACTTAACCGTTTTTGAAATATTTAATATTTTTTTTTCAAAAAATTGCAGTTTGCATGTGTCAACAAAAACCAACAAATGGAATATCCTTTATCTCACTGTATAGAAGTAGGTACGTTGGTACTATGGGTGAGCCTGTCATATTTATATGATGCCTTTAATGCTTTATTTTGTTGAACTTGTCTTTTGTTGTAATTAATAAATAATGTATAAAAAAAGATTCTTTGCCTGGGGGGGGGGAGGGTAATTACATACTCTACCCCCCCTTTAAACCGCCCCAAAACATGCCAAAAATCACTTTTTTTTTTATATGACCAGCAGCTGGATATGTAACATCACTCACATCGTTGCCAAATCAATAAATAATATCGGTCATCTTGGCAAAAAAAAAAATATATTTAATTAGTTGAAGGCCCATTGAATTAAAAAAAAAAAAATGTCTGAAAAATGGCAAAATATGATCGAATGAATATCGTAGGTGGCTAGAGTTCGCGAAAGTGTCTTGATGGCCCAAAATCGTACCAATTCATGTCATAAACCCTGTGTACCAAACATGATTCTCATACAACAGAGTCCTGAGAAATTGAAAAAATACTATTCTTAGGGGCGAAATTCAGGAGGCTACTCTGAAAGCGGGAACGCCATTTACCAAAAACAAAAAATACGGGCTTTTTTTTTAAAGAAAATTTTGTTGCATTTACTTTAAAGACCCGCTATAAGACCCCGACACAATTTTTTTTAATCCAAAAATTAATTCTCTACTCGGAAAAACTGATCTTCCGCACGCGCACGGATACCAGTGCGAAAAACTTTATCCGCACGGCTGTAGAAATAAAAACTATTCAATTACTACAAACTATGTTGGTATATGGTAGAGTGGGGCAGGTTCGGACGGATTTGGTTAAGGTGATACCGAACTTAATGTTCTAAGAATGCAAATATATTGCTTCATATGTTTTTCAACCAATACCATAGCAGTTTCAGAAAAAAAAACTTGCACCGTTTTTCGTGAAAATTAAAAAAAAAAAAAAACCTGCCATTTTTCCGAAGGTGCCCCACGGTGGGGCAGTTTTGGACATGCTTGGGGTAAGTCCGGACATATACTTTATAAACAGTTTATTTTTTGACATCAGGTATATTTTAAATAATTAAGCATCTATCTAAACATCAAATTTTATAGTCTAAAGCAGTGGTTCCCAAAGTGGGCGCTACAACCATCTCGAGGGGGTGGGGGGCGGTAAAGAGCTCAGCTGATTTTAGGGAGTGGTAGGCACAAATTAGTGGGCGGTGGAAAAAAAACGAACAGATCAGAAAAAAAATTAAAATTGAATAGTAAATGGCTTTTTACGGAAATTACTATTCAATACTATAGAGATAAGGCTCATAGTCCATGTCTATCTCTTTCAGAGTCAATTTTGGCAAGCTTCAAGTTATGAACGCAACCCGCACGCACCTCAGCTAAGTCTGCTATGACTTACTTAAAATGCGATACCGCTAATACACGCATTGATCAGCAGCAGCTGCATTAAAATTATTGTATTGTATTTTACTTATAAATAACTTCAAAAAGCTCAAAAATAAGCTCCGTCAAGTAAGCCCCCGCATTCGACTTTTCTAACAAAATTGCAACCACTTTGAACTGTGCTGTTCTGATACCAAAGTTATAGGAAAAACAAGATGGGGGGCTAACTTGACGCTCAGCCCCCCCAAAATTTTGGACATCTAATCAAACAAAAATGAATTCTTATGCAAT